ACCCTTGAGCTGCACCTGGTGGTTGTTGTACACACACGAAGCCCAGCCCTTGCCACCGTTGATTGCGAAACCGCCGTCCTCCTTGTAGCCACCCTCGACAACATTTCCACCCACAAAGTAGGACATGGCCTCCTCGGCGGTGGGGCGGAACCTGTATTCGGCAGCCTTCGTGGGCTTGAACATCACATTCGAGTGGCCGTAGGCATACAGCTCGCCAGCGGCTTCAGCAGCGGCTTTGATGAAGTTCCCTCCATCCTTGTGTACTCTTGAGATGCTTGCAATGGCGGCCGCCCACTTGGCTTGGACCTCGATAACTTCGGCAACGGTCACAGGAGCTGGAGCGAAAGCCTCGTCAAGCTTCTCGGCAAGGGGGCTCTCGACGGCGTAGCAGGCCCGGAAGAAGTCCATTGTGTGCTATGTGACTTGTCTTGGCCTACTCCCGGAAGGTGCAACTTGAAGCGGAGACCAAATCGCTTGAGCCAAACAGAACGGAGCGTTCCTGTCGGGCATCCTTTCCCACAACTTCAAACGGACCAGGACTGATACCATTCTCACATATTCCTCAAAAAGTTGTGGCAGTCAATGCTGCTTCAGCGCTGCTCAGCTTGTCTCCCCCACCCGAGAGCTGCTTTGCAAAGTTGGGCCCCGGCTGCGTGGGCAAACACTGCGCAAACTCCTGAGCAAGATCGGTGATGCAAGGAAGAGGCAGGCAAAAGCCATACTGTAACAGGCCCAATCCAGATTTGAGCTGAGGCTTCGTCCGCCCTCAGCTTCTGCGCAACTCGGTAGTGGTCTGACAAGCACCACAATGTCGCGCGTGGCAAGAATGGCTTCTGCAGTCCAACGGCCTAGGCCGTATGCTTCCATCTCTGTCAGCAACTTCAGCACCTCAGTCTGCAGTCGACTTGTGTCAAGGTGTCGCCGATGTCTAGTCACGCCGCTGAGTTGAAGGCCGTGGGGTACTGCTTGCATCGGCAACAGACCCTCACAACGCTGCAGTAGGAATCCCCCTGCATAGACAGCATGCATGCACAGGGCATGAACACAGCACTGGTCATGGGACTGCCTTTGGTACAATGCCAGTATCTCGGAGCTGTTGCAAAAGTTCCTGCGAATTCTGCTTCACTGGTCAGCAACGGGGCATCGTCATAAAGAAGGCCCCGACAAGCGATGTCTTCCAGTCTTGCGCGAAGCCGCACAGGCCTGTGTTCTGAACGAAGCAGAGAAGCTGCAAGACATCAGATGCGGGGGCATCACTGCACCCCTGTCGTCTCGGGACTGGGCTTATGAGATCATAATGGATCTCCTCGTCAAGCTCGAAACCTGTGCTTATAAACCAGCAGGCTGATATACAACGACAAGTAGCAGTTTGATTAGACATAGTTTGGGATATCCCGGGCCCTACTAACAGCGACAACAAACAAAAGCACAACGGAAAGCACCAGCAGAAGCGGTATGGATTGGCGAGGGAGCGCATCACATGTGTTTTGCATCCCGTGCGTGTGCACGAGCTCGTTTCAATTGGCTGCAAAGTTGCACTGCTTCGCCTCACATGAGAGCCTCACACGTTCTTGCTTGCGGTCTTGATGCTCCACAACAGCATCCTGGCTTCTCTAGTGCCAATCGTTCTGCTTTATCAGTGAATCTGTGCGGCTAATCTTTAGCCGCAGAGATTTCGCGAATTCTGTGGCGACGTGTTCTGCTACCTTAACCATGCTTTGATTGCCAATGGCCACCGTGGCTATCCTGGACCTCCCTTCCGACTGTGTGATACATACAGAGCCTTTGCTAATCTTGAGGGGAACATCCTAAGCCAGATTTCTTGGTCCGGAATGCAAGCTGCAGGATGCAGAGCATGCCACAGCTGGGAAGGGTCTGGCACGAAAGCGCGTGATGAAACAAGGTGCCTAGTTGCTCACCTACTTCCATCTCATAGGTCTCGTTTCTACACGCACGTCTCGAAGTCGCCTGCGCCGCGCATCTCGTCCAATACTTTCAGAGCGGAATCGCGACCTGAGACCCAGCTGCAGGCTGTGCTCCTGTAGCCTGGAAAGTCATCACTAGGAGTCAGACATTGGCAGTTGATGCAGGCCGCGACCAGCGCATTGTAGACAGACTTGTCTGGCTTGATGCCGTTTTGCTGCATTTCTCTCAATGCTTGTACAGCCTGCAGCATTGGCGAAGCACTGTGCTGCGGATTCAGTCAGACTATTAACTGACATTTCTATACAAACCAAACTCAGAACGTCCCTGGACCTTATATGTATACAATATATATATATATATATATATATATATATATATATATATATATATATATATATATATATATATATATATATATATATATCCGTACATTTTTTATTTATACATCCACTGGTTGAAAGCCAAAGCTGGAGATACCAGCAGAAGCAGCACCGGCCTGCGCCGGCTGCCCTCGCTTCCCGAGGTTGCTGATGAGCCTGACAGGAAACGACTCACTTCGAATTCTAAACCCTAAACCCTAAACCCTAAACTTAGGGGTTTACGGTTTAGGATCTATAGGGGCTTAGGGTTTACCGGTTTAGGGGCTGGGGTTTAACGTATAGGAAGTTTAGGGGGAGTTTTGGGCTTAGGGTTACTAGAATTTCTTTCAGGAGCAGCTGTCAGAAAAAGGGCCCTTCAACGCAGTCCGAGGCCCAACCTTGTGTAGACTCGCCTTTCATTTGCAGCTGACAAACCGGCATTCTTGCCTGCAAGTACAAGCCGGACATTGAGGGCAGAGAGTGGAGCTTTCGCTGGGCCTGCCTCCCACGACCTTTCCGCAGCTGTGCTCTGCAATCACGGTCACCTGCGAAACCAGGATTGAGGCCCTCAGCATCAGCTGCCGTCAATGCAAGACACCCAGGACCCGACACAGTTTGCGAGACCAGGCTTCTCGGTGGGGCAGTCGTTGCCCCACCATCGGTAGTCACCTGAGAGCAGGGCGCTAACCAGAGAAGGCATGCTTTAGGGCACTCTAGACTGTAGACTGGACATGAGGTTGCTCGGCAAGGAAGTCCTTGAAAGCAGGAACGAGGTGCGCACTGGAAGGTGACTTTGAAGTGCATGGCGCCATGTGACCCAACTTGCGCTGCAGACTTACAAGGCCTTCAAGTTCTGTCCCTTGCAGGAATGGACAACACGGGCTGATAAAGTCCCTGCGTGCGCATATGATCTCACCAGCTGGAGCCAGAAACTGTTGGATTACCATCGGAAGTTCGCCGGCCACGGCACTTCACAGCAACTTGATCTGCCCTCTACAGTGGAAGCACCCTGCCTGGCGTGCAGCTGCCCAAGCAGGAAGCCTGCGAACGCCGCATGCTCCGACGGCCTGGATAGCACCCATGGCTTGCAAGATAATGAAATTAGAATAGGGTTTTGGGACCCCATTATTCTACAATTACGGAACCCCCAATTACAATAAGGAACCCCCAAAGTAGTATAGGTAATTATTTAGGCCCCCATAGCAGGCTTCCCATGTAAGCCCCAGGCATGCCAAAGGGGCCCTCAGACGGCAGCACATAGGCAGCATGCTGGACGGGCCTCCAGTACAGCAAAAGACACAGAAGAGGAATTCTTAGTGGTCTTACAGTGATAAACGCTGCGTGCCGTGCTGGGCTGCTGGCCGTGGCTGCTGAAGGAGGCCCTTACACGGCGAAACGGCCCGAATGTCTCTCCTTACCTTCGGTCTTGAGCATCTCGGCCCCGCCTTCAACTGCAAGACACAAGTGTCCAAGAGAATTGCTCCGAGAAGCGTCCAAGCCTGAGATGGCCGGCGGCTGACTTTCTCACATCTCGAAGCTCAATTTGGGAGTTCCGAAAATTCGGTGTACAGTACTTTGGGGTCCTTACGAGAAGGATCCTACTACTTAGTTACTAATTGGGGTACTATATAGGGTCACCTATTTTTGGAAACTCCCAAACTCTTAAGCTCGAAACCCACTCGACACGTGTTGTCCACAGAAAGCCACCAGCCAGAGCAAGCCCTGCTGGAATTGAAGTGGCCACCAAACCCACCTTGGTCAAAAATGCTCTGGGACGGGCTTGTTTCTGAAAATGTGCCATGTCTTGCCACCATGAAGCCAGAAAGCTCAGGGTGTGGCGATGACGGTGTAAAGGCTTTGGAAAGCCGGAGATTCGACAGCCATGACAGCCGCAAGTTGCGCATCTCTCCATATATGCTATGTATGTATGTATGTATGTATGTATGTGTGTGGCTGTGTGTATGTGTCGGTGCATGGGTAGGTGTGCGTATGTGTGAATGTGTATGTGTGTGTGCACGTGCATGCGGATGTGCATGTGTATGTGTGCATATGAGTGTATGGGTGTATGGGTGTATGTGTCTATGTGTGTTTGTGTGTCTGTGCGTGTATGCGTGTATGTGTGTATGTGTGTATGTGTGTACGTGTGTATGTGTGTATGTGTGCATGTGTGTATGTGTGTATGTGTGTATGTGTGTATGTGTGTATGTGTAGGTGTATGTGTATGTGTACGCGCAGGTGTAGGTGTAGGTGTAGGTGCAGGCGTAGGTGTAGGTGTAGGTGTATGGGTATGGGTATGTGTATGTGTATGTGTATGTTATGTGTGTATGTGTGTATGTGTGTATGTGTGCGTGTATGTGTGGATGTGTGTATGTGCGTGTATGTGTGTGTGTGTGTATATGTCTGCATATGTGTGTATATGTGTGTACATGTGTGTATGTGTATGTGTATGTGCCTGTGTATGTGTGCGTGTACAGTGCATGTGTATGCAAACGTTTATGCACATGTATAGGTATATGTACACATATACATATATAGCCATCCTATGCAGAGTCACCGAGCTTGGGCCGCCCAAGGGGCTGTGTTAATCACTGCACCGTTGTTGACGGATGCCCATCAGCTTGGCAGCCATGGCATTGAGCCGTGCAAGATACCGTTTGCAAGCTTCGGGCGCCACGAAACCAGAATGCAAAAGGCTCCGAAGGGGACGATTTTCCATCAGTCGGACTGGTCCCACTCCTCCACATCAGCATGCCATCGTTTGCTGTCCGCCTGACTGCAGCACACTAGTGGCTGCGACGCGAGCATCCCCATCAACAGCTAGGCATGGCTCTTGCTTGTGGTGCACGTAACGTAAATTTTCCTTTATATTTCAGTGCTCAGAACCCCGCACCACCAGGGTTAACTTTGCCGACACAGGGCAAATTAACTCGTCGACCAGTATCGATTACCCAAACCTTGCTTTGGCTCCTGGACGTGAAGTCTACTGGATTTTGCTCCAACGGCAAGCAACCAAAAGATCGAGACACATCCAGCTGCCGAGATCTGTAGGACTGGGATCCAAAAGCATCCGTAGAACCGACACACAAACATCAGTTGCTGAGGACTCATCTCTAAAAGAGAGTTTCAGACCAAGACCATCTCCTAGAAAGCCTCACAGCAACGGCAAGGGTAACCCTTAGAGAAGCCCAATAGTACCCCCTTTACAGTAGAGCAAACCTTGCGGCGTTACCCTTGTAGCAACCCTTACGGTACCCTTGTACTGCCCCGACTTGGGAGTTTCCGGTTTTGGGAACCGGATATAGTACCCCAAATAGTAGGATCCTCATTATTAGGATCCCAACATAAGGTATCCCTAATTTTCGGAAACCTACGCCCTTATAAAGCCCCTTAAAGGAACCCTTATAGTAACCCTTTAAAGTCCCCCAGCTGAGTCTGACACCTTGGCGGGCCTCAGCTCAAAAATTGGATGACAAGAGGAACTGCCACAGGACACTAGGACACCAGGGTTGATGATATCAATCTTGCATCACCTTAATGACCCTGGACTATGGGAATTATGAGACAGTCCTTGTTCTGGGAAATGAAGGATTTATGTCATCAACAGTGTCGAACTGTCTGAAACAGGGGCGCTAAAGGAACCCTAGCATTAGCTATTCACCATGAAGAGGGTCACCATTACCATTATCATAACCGTGGTCACCATCATCAACACTACCAGAATCATCATCGTCATCACGATCATCATGATCGCGGCAGTGATTCTCATGGCCATTCTAAAGGCTCCACTCCGATCCTACCCACCATTGCCGGCACTTGCTTGGCCAGAATTACCGCAACGCTTGCGATGGTTCCTGACGTTCGTAGAACTCGCAGTGGCACTTTTCATGTTGTTTGTCGACAGAGCAAGGCAGTACAGTGTGTTACTCTTGTTCTGTGCACTCGCACTGCTGCAACTATCTTCCTTTATGCATGCTGCTCTGCACTGACAGCTTGGTCGTTGGCGTCGTGCGAGTTTCCTATTCATAGTGATTACCATGACAATTCACAAAATTAAACCTGTTGCCACAACGACACTGCATTCCTGTTCGCAGCATCTGGCAGTGCCGTTTGGCTGTCTTGCAGCTGAGTACGACTATGAGATAAGCCTACCAAGTCTATGAGTTTATGACGACAAAAACAAGAGGATTAACAAGATACGATCCGGCGCAACAAAAACAACACTGCAGATCGTCCATCCCATCAGACGTCGACTGAGATCCGAGCGAATTTTGCAAAGTCACGCTTCGCTGTCGCTTCTTCCGAGTCTCCTAGGGTGTTCGTTAAAGGGGTCTCTAGGGGCTACTACAAGGGATCTATAAGGGTCCTTAATATAGGGGATTTATTAATTCTGCAAGCATGACTCAATCCATAGCCGGCCGTGGACACGGCCGTTGCTGCGATGTTCTGATGAGGCTCATGCTGTGTTTGCTACCCCCTCGTGCAATGTATAGTTTCCTAGTCCTATTGCACCTGAAAAATAACGAAAATGTTATCAGGTCTCATCGTGAACTGTCGCTATGATCAACATGGCTGCTGCTCTCCCCAACCTGTTGCTACTACTTCTTCTTCTACTGCTACTACTACCACCATCATTATGATTACTACTACTACTACTGCTGCTACTACTGCTACTACTACTACTACTACTTCTACTTCTACTTCTACTTCTAAATCTACTTCTACTTCTACTTCTACTTCTAAATCTACTTCTACTTCTACTTCTACTTCTACTTCTACTTCTACTTCTACTTCTACTTCTACTTCTACTACTATTACTCTACTACTGCTACTACTACTACTACTACTACTACTACCGTACTACTACCACCACTCCCTATTGGTCTCCGAGCCTGGCCTTGGCTCGGCCATTGGAGGCTTCCACGTTCGGCTTTGCAGCCTGACACGGAGCAAGCGGCTCGGGCTCGGGCTCTTTGAAACTGCATGGGATGCTTGCTCGTCAAAACCGCCCAGATAGACATCAAGGGTTTAGGGATTTAGGGTTTCGGGTTTAGGGGTTTAGGGTTACATTAGGGTTTAGGGTATTTTTTTGAGCGCTCTTTTCCATCTGCACGCGGGCACGGGTACGGCCTACGGAAGTCTACTTGAGCCGGTTTAGGGTTTACTGCTTGTGGGGTGATCGGGTTGCACGTATCGTTGCAGGGGGGGTGCTCTGGCTGGTATATTGTCGGTTGCGTGGGATCGGGCTTTGGGTCCGGGTGTCTGGGTTCTTGGGGTTTGGGCTTGTGAAGCGCTTTTGTGTTTCTGTATAGGGTTGCCGTTGTTAGGGGTGTGGGTGGGGCCGGTGGTGGCGTGGGCCGGCATGGAGTAATGTGTGGATTTCATTTTATGTTTTCTTTTTTGTTTGAGGTTTGGGGCGCGTGGCTGGAGCTTCGATATTGGGTGTTAGGTGTTGGAGGTCGGGGTTCAAAAATGTGGGACTGGTGATGATGCAGGGGCTTTGGATGTTGTGGTTGTTGGGGTATGCTTGGCTTGGCTGGGATGTGTTTTTGTAACTTTGGGGGGCGTTGTCGTGCGGCTTGGTGGTGCATTTACCGTTATATTGATAAGCTGAGTTGGTGGATGTGATTGTTTATGTGTGCGTTTTTTGTTGATGTTGTGTTGTGATTTTAAAACTTTGGTATAAGATTCTGATTGATATCTGAATAAAATCAAGTTTAAATAGATATAAATCTGAATTTATTTAAAAATACATTCAGATTTAAATATATAAATCTGAATGTATTTACAAACACATTCAGATTTAAATATGTAAATCTGAGTTTATGAAAAAAGTTCAGATTTGTATATACAGATCTGAATTTATCGAAAATAAATTCAGATTTATATATATATATATATATATATACATGAGTTTAATAAAAATAAAATTCAGATTCATATATATAAACCTGAATTAATTTTTCATAAATTCAGATTTATATATATATATATATATGTACATCTGAATTTATTTTTCATAAGCTCAAATTTTTAATAAATCAATATATTTACTTTCTTATAAATACAATAATTACATTATATTGATATAGATTTCAATAATTTCTTTCTATCCACACCACACATACACACATCACGTGGAGACCAGTGAACCCTAATGTGCCACACAACCCGAACCTCTGGCATCACATAAACAACCATTATCTTAATCACAAAATCTTATTTTCCAACCTACCACGCCATATCCAAACCATCACGTCACCCATAGAATCCACTCTTCATCCGACCACAACACCGTCCATCGCTCACCCAGCACACCACACACGTCATGCAATCATATTGTACTAGTCACATCAACCACAGCATGTATATCCACACCACGAGATCGTTAAACTATGCATTACATCACCCTTTTCGGGAAACCCTACCACTGTAACACCGAATCCCAAACCCCTATTCAGCAACCCTTAGAGAACTTCGAAATTATGTATACCCAGCAATCATTGTCATTGTTATCCGTTGTAATTCTACAACTACTTAAATTAACATTTTAGTCAATTTATTATCTATTCAAGCTATTCAATATTTTACACAAACACTCCTCTTTTTTGTCGGCGGAGGAAGCACACGCCTTTCTGTACTGCCGTTGCGGCACACACTTGCAGCCTTGCCTCTAAGCTATACAGTAGTTAAGTACCCACACACTACATCTACATATAGGGTTTATAGACGCCTCTATCTAGGCAGGCCGCACGTGTGCGCCGCTGGCAGCTCCGAGAGCTCCTACCGGCGTCAAGCGCCCGCAAACCGGCGGCAAGCGCCAAAGGCCACGGCGACGAGCGCCCTACTCGTAACCGCTCCGGCGCCACCCTTTCCATGCACGATTCTGCACCGCCGTTCGCAGGGTGTCTGCGCCCATATACCTTTCTGCCAGCTGTTTAAAAGCTCTCTCACTTTCATCTTCGAGTATCGTTTGACACAGCTGGTATAGCTTATCAGCCCAGCTCCCAATGCCGATGTCGTCCCGCCGGTCGTCCAGCTGCTCTTGCATCCTGCGGGCCAGCTCCCAGAGCTCACGTCCCCAGCCGCTCGTGTGGTGAGCATGGATAAGCATGCTCACCTTACTTTGGGCCCCCCCTCGGTTGGGGTCCATCGGCTGTCGCGCCCACCCATTTCCGCCGCCACGGGCGCCTTCCCTGCGACCGCCTCGAGGGCGCCTGTCTGAGGATGCCTGAGCTGCTGCAAAAAAGAACACGAAACCGTAAACCCTAATATATAAACCCTAAACTCCTCTATAAACCTTATAAACCCATCTACCTGAAACCCCAAGCTATGAATTGCATATGTTGAACAAAATATGCTAAAGAACCTTAGATATACGAAACAAAGACACCCTTGCCTATCTATCCTATAGTCTTGAATAAAAGACAACGAAAGGAAACTAAACAAAACCATGGGTTGCACTGCTGTAGCCGCGGTCGTCGGGCCGGCGATCATCGCGCCCATCATCGCGTCTCTCGCGCCGGCGATCATCACGCCCCTCATCGCGTCTGTCGCGCCCATCATCGCGTCTGTCGCGCCGGTCATCGTCACGATCGCGCCGGGGCCGGTCGTCGCCAGATCCCCTTGCCTCCCGCCGGTCACGGCGCTCCTGCTCTTCCCGCCGCTGTCGGCGCTCAAAGTCGCGGCGGCGTTGGTTTGCCAACCGCTCGCGCTCTCGGGCATCCCTCTCCTGCTCCCACATCTCTTGCCGACGCCGGATGTCCGCCTCCTCCTGGGCGCGCAGTCTCCTGAGCATCTCAGCGTGCTCCCGCATCTGCGTGTCAAACAGCAGGGTCCGCTGCTCTTCCCCCAGCCGATAGCGTCTCTGGCGCTCCAGGCTTGCTTCCCTAACAGCGGCTCTGCGCTCCTCTGTCTTCGCCTTTTTCGGCGCCTTGTCGGGCAACTCAGGGGAGGACTCAACCGCTTCGGGCTCCTTCTTCTCAGCCTCTGAGGGCTCGTCACACGGGCTTGTCGCCGCCTCCTGCACCCATATATTACTTAAAATGCAGATTAGCATGTTTAGGGTTTAGAAAAATTTGTTTTGATACAGAGTATATAGTTTAGAGGGTGTATTAATATGTAGACATACATACATATATATGCATACATGTAGAAAAGAAAAGAAAATAAAACATTATGTACACCCTATAGACTAACCAAAACCAGAAAACATGCCAGGCACTGCAGTCCTCCGCCTCCTTGGCAGCTTGTGCCCTCTCGTCCTCACTCTTGCGAAACTCAGCGATTAAACGCTCCTCCGACTCCTGCAGCGTCCGCGTCTCGCGCTAAGGGTTTAGGGTTTTGGGTTTAGGGTTCTGGTTTAGGGTTTAGGGATCCGCTGCCTTTTTGCTGCTAGATGCATACATCTTGCTACTGGTTCAATCTCTCGGTACTGTTGCCTTCCATGACCTCACTGCGGACATCGATATTAAGACGACGACGACGACGACGGGACAGTTGAGACATTTGTCAACCAAGTACAACAGCACACCTGCTGCTACCAGCACTGCCACCACCACCACTACTACCACCACCAGTACTTGCACAACCCAGATTCCGTAAATAGGCATTTTCCTGCACAGTGTGGAAATATGGCTTGCAAATATGGAAAGAAAGGTGTTGGATGGCCCTCGGTCGGTTCATACTTTTTCCATATTCAATCGCTACTTAGTTAAGTACTTAGTCTCAAGTATATGAAGAGCGCCAACTTATTTTTGTTTGGCTTGGATCTGGGTTTTGGTCTTGGCGGGACGAAAGTTGTCATAGTCTCAAGCATAGGTTTTCGTATGATGGTTCACGTGATTTTGATATGTTCCTTTGTGTTATTGAGCTGAACTGTAATGAAATGAAAACAGACCTGTCTCCTGGGCCCCCCGACCGCGGATCCCAGCTCATGTTTGGTCATGTTTGTCCATATGTTATCAGCTTTTTCATACTTTCCAATAAACATGACGGCGTGTTTGCGAGCTTCTCGAAGCCAGTGTTGATGATATCGAAAACACTGTTGCTACTACCGCCAATGTCTCTGATTCCAAATGCTCCATCATGCTCCCGTTCTTGAATGTACTACAGCCCTTACTGTGCCCAGATATTGCAAGCACCTTCTTTGGGGCCGTCGTGGACTCCACCAGTTTTTCGACCTGCGAGAAAATTCCTAAAGCAGCAAGCCTTCAGTGTTTAATCTATGCGGTTCGGGGCTTCCCCAAAGGCGTCTAACTTATCAGCCCCGCCTCCTCCTCATCCATCGCTGGGGAAGTTGTCGGCTTCGCAGCCTTGCTCATGCATGCATGTGAAAGGCTTGAAGCAAGAGCTCGTGCCAGTTTCATCCGATTTCTAGGTCTCATAGAAAGCTGAAGCCCTGCTTCCAGGCGCGTCACCTTCTTCGGGGCGGTGGTCGTTTCCACCAGGATCTCTGCCTCCAGACAGTGACCGCAACCCCACGTGAAGTCCGCACGTTCTCGATCGGAGAATTCCCGAACAGTCTACATCGAGTCAGGCCTGGGACGCCTTCCGCTTCATCCCCGGAAGGGCTGCCTGCTTTTCGACGCACAGATTCGTGATGAGTCGCACTTTCAGCAAAGCTGGGATGCACACGGGCTGCTCGGACATGAGCTTGAACCGGTCTGTGATGACCGGATGCCTGGCACCGGCTGCGCCCAAGGCAAGAAGGGAAAGTTCAAAAACAAAAAGCGTGCCACGGCAGACGCTGGGTCTATCAACAAGGGACAGAGCATCGACACCTGCTTGAGTATGGCTCGGACTACTCGTGGAATCTGTGCCGGACTAGGGCCAGGGCCTCCGGTGGCGAACGAGACACGAAGAGGTGGCAAATACAGTGAAACCTGATGGCAAATCTGTCTCGATTTCTACAAGGTCGAAGGGCTGGGAGATACCAGTGCTTGAGGTGTCAGCCCATGATGGAACAGGTTGCGCAGGACTGGCATGCGAAAGCAAGCCCCACCTTGGCCCGTGCAAGACACGGTCCGAACAGCCGAAATCTCACTCAACTTACCTTTGGTTAGTAGGGAATGGAGGAATGGTAGTAATTGTAGTCCGCCGAGGCCACAGGCCCAGGCGTCTTGGGGATTACCTCAGGTACCCTCCACCTAATCCTCCTCCCTGCAGTCCGAAACTTTGGAGACACCCTGTTGTTGCGTTCGTTTGCCACCCTTGCCCGGCTTCCCTTCATTCTACCTGATTTGTAGGCCTCCTCCCCTTGCCCCTCCCCCACTCCCCTTATACCCCATTTTTCCATTCCCTACTCACCAAAGATAAGTCAAAAGATGCTCGGAAGCTTTGAGCTTGCGGCCCAAGTCCATGTCCGGAGCCAACGGCGACTCCAGGCACAGTTGCACTTTCGGTCCCCAGCTGTCGTGGGGGCCTGCTATTTCCGCAAAAGCGGTTTTTGCACGAAGAATTCAAGCTGCGAATGGCCTCGCTGCTTCCTCTCGGGGAAACGGCCAGCCTCCGACACGGCCGCAGGTGAACAAGAAAGCTCAGGTGGAGTACTGTAGCTTGATGGAGCTTCTAGCAGATTCTGGTACCCCGGCCTTCGCGAAGGTCGATCCGCCATCGAGAACCGAGATGCCCTGAGAAAGAAGATGACTCCAAGTGCTGGGTGTTGAGGAGTGGTCAAAGAGCATTTTGCTGTACTCTGCATGATGAGTTGAACGCCTGATCCTTGTAGTTGAACTCCTGCCCATAGTACCTCGTAACAATGTCAATGCCATGTGGAAAAGGCCAACCCTGTCACAGCCAAGCTTGGGTATGCAAGCAAGCAAGCAAACAAGCTGAATCGCACAGTATCACACCCCCTCAGCGCCGTTTCCGTTCCCGCTGCGGTCATCTGTTGGTCAGGATCATCATCACGCACATCACCGTGGTCATCATCATCGTCACGATGTCCTTTTTATGACCATTGTTACTACTACTGGTATGGTTATGATCACTGTTCTTACTACTGTGACGGTTATGATTCATGAATATACCATCATCACAGGTCGGAGACCTCCTTTGCCAGCTCTTTGAGCATCTCGATTTCTGCCCTCTCATGGGTGATCTTTTTCCTGTCCCGTTGTCCGTCCTCTCTTCTTGTCCTCATAACGGGGAAAGGGAAGAGCTGCCAGCAATAGTACTAGATAGCTGCGCCGCGATAGACGACGACAGTGACATCCTGTCGCAGTGGTCGGTGTTATCACCGTCGTCATGATAGGCCTCATCATTTTCATGTGCATCAACAGATCAGCGCCTGCAGCATCAAGTACCCAAGCACTGAAGATACATGTGTACTGCGATGTAGTCTGGCTGGGAGGGAAGGTGCCGTCGCATCGCATTCTACTCACGACGGGTCACTTCAGGAAGTCGAAGAGCAGGTGTCCCAAAGAAGTTCCGGCATACCTCGGCACCGGTAGTCCCGCTAAAACAAAGGATACATTGAATCCAGAAGGCTCTCCATGTTGCTGGGCGGGCTCACTGGCGGGTACTCCGGGATGACGGATGCCTCTGGAGGAAGTGGAGAACCACGTTGCACAGAAGGTACGAGCCCATGCCACCTGTTGAGGTCCATGCTTCGGTGTTTGCGTGACCATTCTGACTCTGAAAGAAAGCATGCGGCCTGTGTATGTCTCATGGAGCCCTCGCTGGAGAAGGAAGTACTTCAAGAATAGAAGCAACGGCTTCATCTGCGGATACTCCTTTGGTCTCAGACGCAACTCGTAGCGTCAACGCGTCTGACAAGAACGTAGCACTCCTTCAGCTTGGAGCGGATGAACTTGGAGGAGTCCATGCCATCCGGCTGCAAGAAGGGTGCGGCATTTTTTGGGTGGGGTGCGCAGCAGGGGCTCTACTTCTCTGGCCTGGCTGAAGACCACATCAGCTCGAAGGCCACATGACTGCGATCGGACCTTGATCACCGGTACCTGCGACATGTGCTTTTGAGCCATGGAACAGGGTGACTGCGAGGTTGCCTTCGCAGTCTCGATGATCTCCAACCAGCTAATCTCTCCCTTGGAGAGTAGGTGATCCTCGCGGACGGTACACTTTCTGCGATGCTCGCATATGCTCAGACTTGCAGATTCTGATCTGGCTAAACTCAGCAACGGTCCGCCAGCATCTTCATTGCCGTACCTGTCCTACAAGGACGGCGCTCAAAACAGCATGCTCGGTTCCAGATTGGCACAGTCTGTCGAAAACTCGTCGGCACAAGAGTCGGAAGCTGCGAAGCAGGATGCAAATGATAATTTTCTCTTCGCTTGTTGGATACCACCGGGTGCACAAGCCCCTGCTTGGCAAAGGCTACTGAAAGTGCAGATTCGAAATTTGGCTTAAACAAACGGTCTCTGCACCATTGCCCAACAAGATCTTGTCAGGCTAAGCCGTCCTGGGTCAAGATTGGGCCGGGAAGTCTCGAATGATCGGCAGGTTCGAGTATGGATGTTATGCTGCTGCGGGTTCTTTCGAGTCCTTCTGATGAAGTCCTAGGTGCCCTGTCACTCCAATCGACTCAGATGCTACTAGTATGGCTCCAAACTAGGTCTGCACAATCTTGACCCTGGCCCAGACATCGCAAAGGTGTTCTCTGCAAGCAGTGTTGCTACAAGTAACCATGAAGGCACCAAGTTCTGCAGCCTCACCCAGAAAAAGCGGGTCTGCACAGCTGCGGAGAGATGATGCACACGCTGCAGCGTCCACTCAAACTGTACAATGCTGCGCTGCACTGCCTTCCACTGAAAGCTGACATACTGTACCTTGGCCGTCTGGTCTCTTGTGTGGTTTTGCCGCATGTCTCCGGAGAGATGGGAAGCAGCAAACCCCAGCACAAAGCCTGCTGCTTGGCAAATCAGGCGACGACCGAGACATTTCCAGATTCAAGACTTGTGTGGATGCCGCTTGTGTGCATCCCATGTCTACAAAACTTCAGGAGCTGTCGGGGCCTCGGTGACATCGATCGGAAAAATCAAGGAGAGCGTGTGTTGCAAGCTTAGGTGGCGGCTGAGCTGCAGCTTGCCTTTGCCACCGTCGGAGGCTGTAAACGAACCTGAGGCATGTGGGTGGTTGTCAAAATTATGGTCCCCAATTGGGTACCCTAAATAATAGGTGCCGTACTATGACCGGGACCACAAAGGGACCATATTGCTGACAACCACTCATGTGAGGGTTTTGAAGCTACTGAGAAGGAAGTGCCAGGCTTCCACGCCTGTGATCTGCGCGACGTGATGACTGTAGAAGACATGTCCAGTAGCCTGCGGCGAGTGGCCGGCAACCCAGGGATGCTTGACAAGACAAACCAAATCAAACATGTGTCCCCAATCGGAAACACCATAAACCCTAAAGCCTAAATCTATAAACCCGGTCGGAAATCCTAAACCACAACCCTGTAAACCCAATCGGAAACCCTAAACCCTAAACCTATACTTCCCAATCGGAAACCCTAAACCCAAGAGGCAGAATCTCCGAAAACCTGCCAGGAAATCACGTAAAAGCCATCGAGTCGAGGCGACCCGAACTGGCGAAATCGAAAATCGCGAGATCTAAACTTTCAAGATAATAGGAAGAAAACGAACACTAATAGTGGCAGTTTAATACTAAGAACAATGACAACAGAAAGCTAATGATAATGGTCATAATCATGGTAGTGATAGCAGCTACGCCTGATAATAGCAGTGACACTGTCTGGGCAGGCTTTGGGCTTTCTGTCTCTCAGTGGGTACCTCCACGGTGCCCCACGGATGCCTCTCCACCTCGCTAGAGCAGTGCCGCTGAACATGACAGAGCTCTCCGACTTCAAGGCAGCGTGGCATGTGAGCTTTGGGTCTCGGAGATCAGGACTCATTCGGATGAGGGCTGAGAGCCGCACCCACGTCACACGCTTGCTGGAAGGGTCGAAAGTTCCAGAGATGGCTGCGAAGCCGTCGGGACCTGCAAGATCTGAAGGAATTGCCCCTTGGGGCGAACTTTTGATGTTGCTTGCCTTGGGTACTTCCAATCACTTCGTTCTCCGGGAGAAACCGGAGGTCGTACCTTTACATGCAATGCCCGAAGACGCATGAAGGTGTCGAAAAGGTCGGGGCACTTGTTGGTGCGCTGGTGAGTGCGCTCCATCAAGGTACCCTTCCAAGCCTGACACAAACGGGGCTGGTGATGGTCTTCTGGTCGCACGAAAGCATCAAGAAAACGCAACTTCCCCATGAGACTTCTGAGTCTTGCACCCCGCTGGGCGGAGGAGGACGGTGATAACCCTTGCATCCAAAGAGTCGGCTGATGTCTAGAAACGAAATACGGCTCACACTCCGCCGACATACTCGCATCATTACGCTTCTGAGTTTCAGCATGTTCAGAACTTCTCTGAGGCGCATGCCCTGAGTGGCAGTGACCCACCTACGCAATTTTGAAGCAACCCAAGGGATCACAGTGAGATACTCGACCGGATAGTACCTGTATGGCAATCGTGTAGTGGCTAGTAACCATACAGTACCCTGTAGTAACCTTTCAGTACCCTATAAGCAACCATACCGACAATAATGGGTACCTGTTTTGGGGGTCCTTATAATAAGGGTGCTACTATTTCGGGTAAACTATATTAGGGTCCCCTATTTTCGGAAACCCGCATATAATCCCTTGTAGTATCCCTGCCTGTCGGACTTTGAAGGTGGTTGTGTAGCTGCTGGCGCATCACTGGCACGAGGATTTCTCAGAGATCAACCGACAGCATCACGCTTTTTAATTTAACTAGTAACCAGCATAGGGTTTCATGGTACAGTATGCTACTAGTATGCTACTCTATGGGTCATACTGAGACTGTAACTGTAAGGATATAGTTGCAATATTTGAGGTAAAAGCCCTCACGACAAAACAGGAGGCGTTGCAATCGGCACCAGTCGTAGTGGAGATGCTGTGCCGGCGTCCTTTTAGCACATGTCGCAGTGCGAAACAAGACCTGTGCCGCAAAGCCTGCTTCAAAGGATGCCAAGTCTCCGACCTTTTTCTGCATGCTTCCGCTGGTTGTCAGCAAGAGCTGCTATCTGCCAAGATGGTACATCACTACGTACCATCACGCAAGCCGTGGTGCAAATGGCGTGCTTACTGCACCGAAATCGCTGAGATCTTAGCATCCCGCCTGGGAGGCGTCGCTCAGGTTCAGCGGATCCTCCGCATCCCCTCGAAATACCACCAAGATTTCGTCTCAAGCTCTGGAGCTACGCAGAGCGGACAGCAAGGGCGCTTGCCTATGGTCAATGGAGACACGCGAGCCATCTTCCGAGCCTTAGGTTCCGCAAGAAAAAAGCGCACTGCGGATTTGAACCGCTGCCCTTCTACATCCCGAGCCTCTCTAGGAGAACTAGGCAGTACCTGGACCCCAAAAGTATGTAGAATACTGGCCATTTAGAGGTTTTGGGCCATTATTTTAACCTCCTTGGGGGGGTCTAGGTACTCATAACAAGGAGAAGGGCTTCGTTGCCGGTGCTGTTGCAGTCGTGGTGGGGGGAGGGGGTTCCTGAGCAGAATCCCAGCGCTCAGGTCCTTGCACCGGCGGGCACGGAAATGCTCCGAGATCCCGAGTCTCCTATCTTTGTGGCTAGGAAGCATTGTGGCTCCATGTAGAGAACCATTGGGGTCAGAGTGTCCCAATGTGCTACGCTTTGAGGCTTTGGGGCTGAAGCACAGAATGCAAATCTCGTCCTTCGTGGTCATGGAGATGGACTCCGGGATCCGAGGCTGCCAAAGAGTTGCAAGAGCAGAGCAGTCCCTTGTAAGCAAATGCGAGTCTCCGCGCACCTCGGCTCGACTTCCGGCCTTTATGCTTCACAAAGGCCTCGAGGACTTCAAAAGTGCAGCTGCATGATGAGTGAATGGTTTAGGGTTTAAGGGTTTAGGGTTTAAGGATGAGTGAAGCTGATTCATCCCACTCTTGCCAGCAGACAACCTTGCCTGGCTTGTGCTGCTGTCGGTGGCAGCGGTGCTCCCTTTGCTGCCGTTACGTCCGCTGCGTCCTTTGCTGCCGGCGCGATGGCGACTGCGGCTGCGGGGATCCTGGCATTCGAACCCTCACCATACGGGAGTTTCGGAAAATAAGGGACCCTAATAATGACACAATAAATAGTAGGATCGTGATTATAATTCTTACTTGGTACCCCAAATCGTAGGGTCCTTCTTATAAGGACCCCAAACTAAGTTCCCCCTTATTCTCGGAAACTCCCGAATACTGAGCTTCAACCGCATCAACGGCTGGAGACCTCCAAGTCGTGCGCGGGCACTGAAGGCTGAGATTCCTCGTCGGAACCTGCCAGGTCTCCCGGTACGAAGCTCAACTGAAAAAATTAGACAAAACATCAATAATAATGGTATTAATAAGAACAAACAACATAATATCTGACCCCAACAGTACGTCGCATCAAGAGCAGGAAACACTGCCTTTGTCCGGGTCTGCTGCTTCTCGAAGAGCTTCTTCTCGCTCTTCCCTCTCACGCCTCTTCTTCTCGGCCTTCAGTTGGTTAATAGGGTTAAGGGATGTTAAGGGTTTAGGTCAAAAATTCTCAAGGCTTGAAGGCGTTTACTTTTTGCGGGTTCATCCCCCTGGGTACCCACAGTTTCGGGGTCCTAGTTTCGGATCGGCGGGGGGGCAGTTTCGGATCAGGGCGGGTGAGTTTCGGGGTTGAGTTTCGGGACGGCCAGGGGTCAGTTTCGGATCGGGCCGTGTTCAGTTTCGGATCGGGCCGTGGTCGGTTTCGGATCGGGCAGAGGTCAGTTTCGGGTCGCGGAGGGGGTGGGGCTGGGGTGCTGCTACGACGACGACGACTACTACTACTACCACTACTACGTCATCAAGGTTGGGCCATGGATCTTCCTTTTCAGAATGGGTTAGACCATGGACGTCATCATGCTTGGGGGTGGGAAGAGGGAAACAACCTAACCTAACACTAACCTAAACCCTGCCCACCTTCCCCTGATGAGGGGACCTAAACCCAAAAAGAACGACTAAGGCTGGGCCCCTTCGAGGGCCTAGGCGGGTATGTCCTAAACCCTAAACCAAACCCTGAAACGAAACCACCCCCACAAGCAAACCGCAACCCTAAAAACCGGAGGGTGGAGGGGTGGGGGGAAGTTTGAGCCAGTCTATATACACGAAGTTTGAGCCAGTCTGTACACGTCTGTGAAACACACGTCTGTACAGAAACATGCCAGACAAGGCGGGAAAGCATTTTGGCCGGGGTGACATGAAAGCCTGGCTATCACAGAACACACCGGCGAAGCAGGTTGGTAATGATCCCTGCCTGCAGAGTCTAATGAGTGTATGATATCCCTGCGCATACTGCGGTTGTGCAGGATGGGCCTCGAGACCAAATCTTTCTGCGAAAGGCGTCGGGACCAAATCCTTCCGGAAGCGCATCGGAACAGACCTTTAAGGAAGGGCGTCGCCACAAAATCTGGCCCAGGATACTGTTGGCCCTTGGTACTGGGCGCCAAGGCACCCCGATTACCTTTTGTCGGCATCACATGTGTTGTTCACCACCCCTGCATGAAAGTGAACACACTTGCAAAAGCGAGTCTACCTCACCTCTACTATGACTATTACCGCTCATCTCAGACTCACCAACATCAAACTCACAGACTGCTGCCAGAGATGCAAAGCCATGGACCGGTGAGCAGCAAGGTGGACGATGCCCGCTCTCAGCATTTCCAGTCCAGTATATTCGCCAGGCGCCCAGCATGTGACTTGACAAGTGCACTTGCAACCTCGACCCCAAAAGCCCCCAAGAGTTGGAACCGTGTTGCAACTTTCCGGCGTTGACATGAAGCACAGAGGCCATCAAGGTTCTGTGAAGGGGGGGTATATAAGGTGTGTGATACCAGGAATCGCCAAATGAGGGGTGTGTTTACATGTTTATGCAAAACCAGAATCGCCCAATCGGGGGGCGTTTTCAGGTATATGATAGCCGAACTGACAAATGAGGGACGTTTACATGTATATATATATATATGATGATGATGAACCGGAATCGTCCGATGGGGGGCATGTTTAAGAATTTTTTAAGGTATGTGATGAACCCCACTGGTCTGGCGTGTTGAAGGTATACGATAGCCGGAATCGCCAAGTGAGGGGCAAAATTGAATGTATGTGATAAACCGGAATCGTGTTTAATGTGTATGGTAGCTGGAATCGCCAAATGGACGTGTTTAAGCATATGTGACAAACCGGAATTATGATGAACCCAACTGGTCTGGCGTGTTGAAGGTATATGATAACCGGAATCGCCAAATGAGGGGGGGCTGTTTGAGATATATGATGAACCGGAATCGCCTAATCGGGGAGCGTGTTATATATATCTATATAAGATGAACCCACTGGTTTGGCGTGTCGAAGGTATAGGACAGCTGGAATCGCCAGATGAGGGGTGTCTTTAAATACATATAATAATACACCGGAATCGCAGAATGGGGGGGGCGGGGTGTTTAAGGCATATGATAGCTGGAATCGCCAAATGAAGGGCGTGTTTAAATAGATATATATCTATATGTATATACATATACATATATATGTATATGTATATGTTAAACCGGAATCGCCCAATGGGGGGGTGTTTGACATATATGATGAACCCCAGTGGTCTGGCGTGTTTAAGGTATATGACAGCAAGAATCGCCAAATGAGGGGCGCGTCTAAAGATCAAGAATCGGAATCGCCCAGTCGGGGGGCGTGTTTAGGGTATATGATAGCAGGAGTCGCCAAATGAGGAGCGTGTTTATATATATATATATATATATATATATATATTATGGTAAACATGCAGGAATCGTCCGATGGAGGGCGTGTTTAAGAACCCCGCGGGTCTGGCATGTTGAAGGTATGTGATAGCCGGAATCGCCACATGAGGGGCGTGTTTAGATATATCTGATGAACCGGAATCGCTCCATTTTTTTTGCCTCCTGCATGGCTGAATACACGAAGCAGGGATACAAGTCCATAGTTGCGAATTCTCAAGCTCAGTTCGAGCATCCTGCAGGTTAAAGGAGAGCAGTATAACTGTTTAACCCAAGCATTGCTCGTTTTGAGGCAGCGAGGATCAGATTGACATGACATTGGCAAGGGTTCAGCAAAATGCCGTGAATTCCTAATTACAAATTATCAATTATCAATTTGATTCACTCATGCAGGCACTCAGATTAGTTGGCTCAGCTTGGCATGCAAGTTCATCCATCAGTTTGGCAGCTGACGGCCAAGAGGTATTTGACACCAATATGAGTGATACTGGAGATCCCACAGGCCACAGAAGAAGCAGACATCGACAGAGCGATGCACAATGGCAACAGAGACCAATAGGTCACTACTCCCAGATCATCACTCCCAGAAAGCAGATAGCCAAATGCGCATCATGTGCCAGCCAGTATGACTGTGCCAATGGCAGCAAAGGCCAAAGGTGAGCACTCCCAGAAGGTCCAGCAAAACACGCGTTGCACATTTGAGCCCATGCATCTGTTCAAATCCGCAGCTTTTCCAAGACCAGGCACTTCCAAGTATCCAAGCAGATTCTGGCACAGTATCAGATCGGATAGTCGAAAGGCCGTAACCAGGAAAACTAAAGCAGTCCTAAAGGATCCAGAAGCGCACTGAATACGGCGCATGGTTGGGTGTCAAACCGGAGCCCAGAGCCCAACAATGAAAGCATTCATGTATAATCATGTCCTCTCAAGGTCAATCATAGGCAGAAAAAACTGCAAGGCATACCCAGGATAGGCAAATCCATCGCTGATACCATGAAAAGCTTCAAGGCATGCCCAGGATAGGCGAATCCAGTCGCTGATACCATGAAAGCCTTCGTTTGGTACCAGGTAATGTAATCACAAGCAGTTGAATATGGGGTTGAGCCAGCAGCTGAAATTCAGTGCCCAAATACATTGTTTGCAAAACCATCCACTCAGTCAGCTTTGTGTGCATTGTCAGCATCAAGACTGACCAAGCCAGAACAACAGTGTGCCAATGTACTGTGGAGGGCAGCGTATCCAATCAAGTGAAGCACCAACCAACATGCCAGGCCCCATATGTACCAGCAAGTGAAAAACTCAAGTGCCAAGGCGCAAACCAATGGAACTCATAACCATGCATCGCAGGGTCGATTCGCCGTTCTGAGATAGCCATGCTTCACAGGGCCATGTCGTTGTTGTTTGCAATTGCCAATCCAGATCTGTGCTGTGTAGAAGCACCAGTACTGGCCATGGAGGTTACAGGCACCGAGGTGAGACTAGGGTGCGGGATTAGCGGCCAATATAGGAAACAAAGTCAATAGGTATTGATGTTATAATGTACACTAGCTACAGTAAGGATAGGCTAAGCGGGACAGAAAGGACATAAATGGGAATTAAGCGTGGGTAATAAGGGGCCATTAATTTGGGCATAAAGATAAGGATAGAAGTATGCTATTCCCGAGGTCAAGTGTTGGTCCAGTCCAGCAAGCGCAGGCAAGCAGCAAGGTGGTCGTGGGACATCATCCACAGCATTCATCGTGGTCGCACATGCATGTAAGGTTCACACTCATCTCTCTGGTCTCTCTGGTCTTTCTGCTAGTGAGTTAATTATCGCTCTGCAAGTATCAAAAGAAAACATAACGAACTCTGTGACCCCAGACAAGAGGAGAGACAGAGCGTGAGAGACTGCGTGTTAGTCAATGTTGTGGATGATTTCCCCTGTCGTCGACAGCGTGAGACCTGGATGTACAGTGGAATCAGGAAACTGCAACTGTTGTTGATGGAGCCTGGGTCGTTTTGGGGCCTGGTTCAGCGCTTGTTCGGGGAGCCAGTTGGCTGGGATGGAGCATTCAAGGTCTCGTAGGGTGGGGACCTGAAACCCGTAATCCTGAAGTTGTTGTTTCAAGTAAGCTGGGAGAGTGCGCACATGAATGACTGTCCAGGCGATAAGCACTACGCGAGGAGTCGTGTCCTGGACATGAGCACTAGCATGTAGTAACTTTCTTGCATCAAAAACGACTGGATTATGATGAGCCAGAATGTTAAAACCCTTGACCAATGAGCCCTGATGTTCCCGTTCATCGGGGCCGTCTTTGTGGGCAATCCATAAACCCCCACCTTCGCAAGTGCTCAAGACCTGAAAGAGTGTTCCACACGGACCATTACGGGCATCTCTATGGGGTTCCTTAGGGTAATCTTCTCGGACAGCTGCAGTTGTGAAGCGAAAATCAGGCATTACTTGTCGTACATAGGCAGTGAGCAATCTTGTGAAGTACGGGTGGGTCAGGGTCCCTTGCAAGAGTGTAGTGGAAGAGCGGGGACTTGCACCTACGTAGACAACCTGGGGATCAAGATGACTTGATATCTCAAGAGTACGAACACATGTTTTGAAGCTTCTAGGAATATAATTCCAAGCGTCCATGACAACCTCTCGATCTATCCTCAATTCATCTCGAACAGCCTTCTTGACCGTGGTAAAGGCAACCAATTCTGAATCCGCAATACGACGATCAACATTCA